TGGAGAATAGCTTGACTCCCTCTTCTTCGTGGCAGCCCCCGAGATATTGGAATACTGCTATCATGTCCCCCCTCGTCCTTCTCTTCGTTAAACTAGACATACCCAATTCCAGCCATCATTCCTTATATGTTTTAGCCTCCAGTCCCCTAATCATCAATGAGGGAGCAATCCTATTCCAAAGGCTTTAATTTAATTTAATGTTTCATTTAATTGTTAAAGAAAAATGAGTTATCAATCCAGGTGCAGGACAGAGCAACTGAAAACCACAACAAAAGAACCATCCAAATGCTAAGATTTCAACCAGTTTTCTCTCTCAGAATGGCTTTTAAATAAATATTTGTCCATTTCTGCACAATCTAGGATTTTCAAAATTATAATCTGGTAGGTTTTCATTTTTCCAAAATTGGGCAAATACTATTCTTGCAGCTGTTAATACATGTAATATTAAATAATCATTTTCTTTGCCATGATTAGGTCTTAATATACCTAACAGGAACAGTTCCGGATTAAATTCTATCTGGATTTTCATCATCTTTTCTAACCATCTATGAATCTTAGACCAATATTTTTTTGCAATAGAACATGTCTACCAGGCATGATAATAAGTACCCGGTTTTTGCTTACATTTCCAACATGTATCCGATAAATTTTTAAACATTTTCACTAAGTGAACTGGTGTCATAAGCCATCTATAAAACATTTTATATATCATATATTCCGGCGTATAAGACAACTTTTGAGAGTGTTGAAACAGGCGCCGAACTCAGGGGTTGTCTTATACGCCGAGTCATCTTATACACCAGAAATAAAGTAGTTTCTGGCATATAGGACGACTTTCTAGGCATGTGACTCGGTGTCAATCGTCTTATATGCCAGAAATACTGGTAGTTTCCGGCGTATAAGACGACTTTCTAGGCATACGACTCTGCGTCGAACTCAGGGGTTGTATTATATGCCGGGTCACCCTATATGCTGGAATATACGGTAAGTTTTCTTTGTATGTTACTGCTTTAGTAAGTTTGATATTTTTATCCCAGTTTTTGCCAGTCTTCTAATTCTATAGAATGTCCAAAGTTCTTCGCCCATACTATCATTGTCTCTTTTACTTCTTCTTCTTCCATCTTCCAATTTATTAAGTATTTATAAAGCTTTTTAATCAAATGTTCATCTGTTTTTAAAAGTATTTTATCAAGTGGAGTCAGCTCTTTATAAAATCCCATTATTTTTATGTCTTTTTCATATCTTGTTTAAATTTTCAAATAGGACCACCATATTAAATCAATACCTTGTTGTTGAAGGGCTTGCCTGTCTTTGAGTTTTCCGTCCTTGTCCAAAATGTCTTTATAACTAACAAGTTTATCATAATTAATCAGATTCGGATAAGCAAATGCTTCCATCGTTGAAAGCCACTCATCGTTGAATTTTCATATACATTTTGTGTCTAACTTTCTCCCATTCAGAGAGTAAAACATTTCTTATAGCATGGTTTTGAAAGTACTTATGTATTTTAGCTTTCTCGTACCATAAAAAGGCATGCTAGCCTAGTTGAAGGTCATATCCCTCTAAATAGAGAATTCACTTATTTCTCAGAGTAATCCATTCTTTAAGCCAAAGCAAAATAGCTGCTTGATAATAAAGTCTCCAATCCAGAAGTCTAAAACCCCCTCTATCTTTTGAGTCTTGTAGAAGTTTACATTTAATTCTTGCTTTCTTTCTTTGCCATATAAATCTTAATATCATTGTATTTAAATCGTCAACAAATTTCTTACCCAGCTTTACAGGAACTATTTGAAATAAAAAAAATTAGCTTTGGTAAAATGTTCATTTTAACAGTCCCTATTCTTCCTAACAATGATAGTTGGAGATTTTCCCATTTTTCCAGGTCAATTTTTATTTGTTTTATTAGTCTCTCATAGTTATCTTCTTTTAGTAATGAATATTTCGCCGTAAGAGAGACACCTAAATATTTAACTTTTTCAGCTATTTGAAGATTTGTCTTTTTGGCGAGTTGAGTTTTCTGTTTATTAGTTAGATTTTTTTTAGTTTTTTCCCTATTTATTTTCAATCCAGCCACTTCTCCAAATTTCTCAATTTTCTGCAAAAGTTTAGGGACTGTTTCCAAAGGCTCCTCTAAGATAAAGACCAGATCATCCGTGAAAGCCTGTAATTTATATTTCTGGTCTTTAATCTCAAGACCTTTAATTTCTATGTATTGCCTGATGTTTCTAGTCAATACCTCCAGAGTAAAAATAAATAGCAGGGATGAGAGTGGACATCTCTGTCTTGTGCCTTTTTTAATATCAAAGCTCTCTGTATAGTCTCCATTTATAAGTATCTTTGCTGATTGTTTCTTATAGATCGCTTGGATTGCTTTAATAAAGTTTTCACCAAAGTCCATTTCCTGTAGTTGTTGAAACATAAATTGCCAATTTAAGTTATCAAATGCTTTTTGTGCGTCAAGAAATATGAGCGCCATCTGGTTCCCATGGGACTTTCTTTATGGGTGGCTGAAAGCTAGGAAAGAAAAGCTTCATTCCACAGAAATCGTGATTGAGGATCAAAAAAATCTGTGATGAGGAGTATGAGATTTCTGTTTTGTCTGAGAAGCCCTGGCTGGAATAGCAATGGACTGAGATTGCAAATTATTGTCCACTTCTTTTCTTTTTCACCTCTTGTGTCTTTCACTTGTTTTAGCATTTTCACTTTGACATAAAAATAATAATAATAAAGTGTCTGGCAGCAGCTACCAAAGTGATCCTTCCTAGAATTTTGGAGAGGATGCACTAGGGTTACAGGAGAAGGATTTAGAAACTCCTCCATGCAGGATCTAATCCAGCGCATTCCATGCCTGCATACACACTCTGTTACATTAACAGTCAATGCCTTTCCTGTAGCCAAAACCAAGTTATAATCTTATAATCTCTTTCTATAATCTTGCGTCTTCCATTCCACATTTTCTGTGAACTATCTGATCTTGTACAGTAGGTTTATGTATGTGTGTGTGAGTGTGTGTGTGTGTGAGTGTGTGAGAGAGAGGGAGGGAGGGAACTACTACTCACCAACAGTAAAAGAAAAAAGAATATAAAATTCTTTTTATATTATACTAAGTTACTAAGAAAGGTAACTAATGGAGCTATTGTAAATCAACAAGCAATCTCTCGGCAGATTCCTCTTTTCTGCCCACGCCTTGTTGCTAAGGATGAGGGCGTGGTTTCCTGTGAGGTTACGCCCGTTACTTTCTAAACAGATCAGAACATAAATCTAGCGGAGCGCAGCCGCTCTCTAACTTAACACAAACTACATTTCCCAGAGTGCCTGCAAGTTTTGCCACGAGGAGTCACAATGAAGAGAACAGGAAAAATCAGGGTCGCCTACGAGGAAACCCGACGGAAGTGGAGGCATGGTGAGACTTAGAGGTAGTCCTCCTGGCTCTGTAAAAATACTTCCGCTTCTCACCTGCGCTCTGTTTCCTTTGTGAGAAGGCACTTGGAATGCATGCACCTCGGGTTCTCTAACAGTATTCGGGACCCTTGTGCTTTATTCTTTAGGGTTGATGCTTCCACTTCTCCCCTGCAGCAATTCAACAGATGAGGTCAGAGTTGTGAACGGCGGTGAAACCGATCTCTTTGAAAAACACCAACTTCCGCTCAAAATATTTACATAGTGGCTGGTGGGGGTGGAGGACACCGGATGCGTCCTCCTGCAGACTGCAAAAGTTGCAGCACGTTCAGCAAGAAGGCAGATACAACTACAACTACTTGCAGATGCACGATAGCCCAGGATAGGGCAGGGATTTGATCTCGCCAGAGAAGCGTGAGTGCCTCAAAAGTAAGGTCCATTCTTTACGGCCTGTCCCCGCTGTCAGGGTAGAGCAGTGTTTCTCAATCTAAGTGGCTTTAAGATCTACGGACTTCAACTGCCAGAATTCCCCAGCCAGCATGGCCATTGCTAAGAATTCTGGGAACTAAAGTTGCAACTCAAAGTTGCCCAGGTTAGGAAACGCTGCAAAGTGTGACTCAACTTTTATTATATCAATATATTTTATTTATGGGGTTTATGCTTGTTTTTATATTGATATGTACTATCTTAATTTATGGAGCTGCCCTACCACCTAGCAAAATACATTGTCCTCATTGGTAGTGACTGGGAGAATATATTAAGAACATGCAGACTGACTGATGAATAGCAATAGTATAATGTATACAGTATAATGTATTAATTTTTTTCTTGAAAATACTAGCATCTCCTCTGGGTAGCAATAACTGATTAAATCTAGTCTAGAGACATGATCTCATCCATCCACATATGATACAAAATACAATAAAGTTTACATTCCATGGTTCTCCATTGGTTTAAACTGGAAACAAAAGAAAGAACTTGTATATATTGTTTTATTATGCCTAGCATTTTGCTTGATTCCAGCAAATTATAATAAAATCATAATTAAACTCTGGGTTAGCCCACTGTGTGAACCGCCTCATTCTTATTTTTCAAAAGCATAGCTAAAGTCTCTTTTCTTCTTCTCTCAGCTAGTTTGCTGTGAGATTGAGTGACTTTCAGTTAAAAAAAACTTGATAAACTATATATTGTCTATAACAGTGATGGCAAATCTTTTAGAGACCGAGTGCCCAAACTGCAACCCAAAACCCACTTATTTATCGCCGGGTGCCAAGTGGGTGTGGTCCACTGGATGGGCATGGCTGTGATGGTCATGGCAGATTGGGTGGGTATGGCCAAGCTGGGCGTGATCACCTCAATGTTGCTCGTGGGAAGGGACGCCTGTGGGGGCCGGGCAGGGTTAAGGGAGATCCAGGGGGTCTCTGGCAGGTGGGGCGGTGGGCAGGAGGCTCGTCCTGTGGGGAGACGCAAGGCGAGGCAGGGCAGGGTGCCATTGTCACAGAGCAAGGTGAGGCAGGGGCCGGGGCAGCTGCTGCTTGACACCATCGACCCCTGCACACAGAGGCCAGATAGTGCATGGGTGCTGGGATGCATCCAGCCACGTGGAACCTCAGCGATTTAGCAGGCGGTTGGTTGAAGAGGGACGGTTGCCATCTCCGGGGCATGGCGCGGAGAGGGCTCTGAGTGCCGCCTCTGGCATGCATGCCATAGGTTCACCACCACTGGTCTATAAAGAAGTAAGATCCATCAATTTTTCTATAAAAATTACTAGGAAAGACGGTACTGTAGCATTCTTCAACCTGGATACCTTCCAGATGCATTGCAGTTGCTTTTCCCAGGCCATGTTATCTGAAATTGTAGGAGCAATAGTCTCCAGATGTTTGGCGAGTTCCAGGATAACTTTGGGTTTATTTTTACAATAAATGCTGTTTATGTTTATTTGGTATTAGAAATACGTACCTGTAAAAGTGATCTCAATTCCCTGAAAACAACTATTAAGTAATGATACACAGTAACTGAGCAAATCAGTTCCGGTCCAGTCCCCTCGGTGCAAACAATATTTTAAGTCTGCCGCTCTGATTCTTGACGGGCAGCTCAAAGGCAAGTCACGAGGCAATCCGAAGCTTTAATCCCGCCTCGACGAAATGCTCCATAGCTGCATTCGGCTGGGGCGTGGAGTAAAAAGAAACGTCTCGGTAGGCCGGTTGTGAGGACGCTGAAAGCACGATGAGCGGCGAGTCGCTGACTTTGGATTGTATTATTCATCTCTTCTCGTACTTGGAAGTACCGGATCTACTCAGAGCAGCTCAAGTGAACAAGGTACACCCGCTCCCCAATGTAGACTCCGCAGCAGAACAGGGATGGTGCGTACTTGACTAACTCACGGCGGTGAGTCAGTCATGCTCAGTACCAGTTTTCCCCAACCTGCTGCGGCTGTTGGGCATGAGATTTGCAATCCACGGATCAGGTTGCTGAAGGCTAGTATAGATCACGCTAACTTCAATCCTTTCCTTCGTATAGTCCGTTCATTTGCCAACAAGAGTGCTCTTGCCTTTTCAAGGCGGGAGGGAAAATGTCCCAAATGGACCTTACAATTCTCGAAGGAAAATGAAAGGGATTTTCGAATAGTTATTTTCGAAACAAGTCTTTATCTAGTTTAATAGAAGGGAGAAGACAGCGCGATCTTTTCTCCACCGCAAGAGCCTTTGAGTCGCTGCAGAATAGAGGAAGAAGGGAACCGGAAGTCTCACCCTTTTTAGGGAACTCAGTTGGCCGTGACGACATATCCGATTTTTGTTGGTTTACATGTTGGATCCAGTTTGAGTACTTCAACATTGCGTGCTGCGGGGGGGGGGGGGACTTTACTTCTCACTTTGGAAACCTGCTTGTCCTACATTTTATTGTCTTGAGGGCTTCAGAGCCTTTCATAGCCAGTAAAGCATTTGGCCCCACTTGACTGGATGCCAGGAATAGCTTTACCAACTGAGTTGATACCACTTGTAGGATTCTTTAAGGGTGAAATTCAATAAGGCTTTCTTATTTCTCCCTAAAGTAGCGCCTTCCTGGGAATTAGGTGTACATTGAATAAAATGGGCTTGGATCTTTGAGTAAATACAGTATGGGACTATCTTGCAGTTTTTCAAGCACTGGTTGAGTTCCTAAATTTTACTAAGCCATAGCTAATGTTGCATAACACACTAAACCACAATTTATTCAATCTCATTTGGGTTTATAGGACACACAGAACTATAAACCAGAGGGGCTGGGTTGACACAGTATATTAGGCATGTTTGGAGTTCAGTGTGTGGCATGAACCCAAGCATTATGGTTAGTTCAGCTATTGTACTTAGTAAGTATACAATGAATTGCCGTTGAGTATTAAACATGAGCCGTGTCATTATGGTTTATTCTGTCATGGTTAAATCAAATCATATTCTGTGCAAGCTGTGAATTCAAATCTTTTGGTTCAGCTGCTTCTGAAACCTGTCATTCCTTTCCTTCCCATTTTAGACATGGAATGAAGCAGCAGAGACCACCTTTCTCTGGAGGTGAGAGCAGCAAGAAATGGGAAAGTCTGGATTTCACCTGAAAATGGATGTTAGTGGATACAGAGTGTTGGATGAAGATACACTTCTTTCCAACAATTTAGTCCTGGTTGTTAGGTGGGAGGGTGAATTGTTATTTTTGCCACATCCTGCTTATGGTTTTCCCAGCGGTAGTGTTACTGGATCTCAGTTGCAAAAGTTCAATCTTGCCTGGATTTTTGTAGCCCAGATCCGTAGGCTCAGTGAGAAATGCCCAGTTGGTTTCTATATCAACAGAATGCTAGACTAGAGAGACCTCCAGTCTGAGAAAGTCTCTGTGCAGTCTTAAAAATCAGTTAATAGATGTACCTGGTAAATGCCATGAAAGTACCGTACTATAATCACATCTTTTTGCTTACTAAGCCTTAAAAGTTCCCTTTTATAAGAAAGGCTGGCCAGGTGCTGCCACCTACTGAGACTAAGCAAGCTTGATTGGTCTTGGAAACTCCATGGTAATGTCTAGATGGGAAAACTGAACCAGATGTATCAAGGGCATAATTATATTTCATATAAATATAAATATAGGACCATCATTTGAGGACCCTTCCATTTAATAGATACAGATGATGCCAAAAAGAAAAAGGCCTTCTTGGTCTTCTATTTAACAGCATTTCAGCATTTGATAAAGACTGTCTTGTTCAAAGAAATTCTCATTTTATCAAAAATGTAATTTTCATTTTAGCTCCTGAATCAGCTTATGTTTGCTATTTTTATTTCCTTAAATATGTAATTATATTTTATTGTTGTGAATCAGCCTTATGATTTTAAAGCTCCAGAAGAATATAAATGTTTAAATAATTTACAATGTGCCTATCGTAAATACTTGCATATTTGTTTATTCCACTGACTGTTAAGAAATGTAGGTGATTGCTCTATAATTGTTAGTAACTATTGAGTTCATGATATCTCTCAGTATTTACAGTACTTTAATTTCTTATTACAAATTGAGATTTGAAGAATTCAGAAATGACATTAAAATAAACCTTCTAACATTCTATTTAATCTAATAAATCATCACATTTTCAGAAGATGATTGTTAAAAATAAATAAAATTACTATTTTGTAAAGCAGATTTGGAGAAAGCAATTTACATTTCTCAGTAATAGTGCAATTGTTTATATTTATAGAAATATGTGTCTAAAAAGGTGGGCTTTCTGCAATATTTCTGTGATCCCAGGAACGCACTCTTGGAAAAAGTATTACCTTCATCGCTCAAAACTTGAATCTAAGATGACATCAGGACAACCTTCTGTTGATTATACATGTAAAGCTATAAGAGGACACAATGGTATGAGAAATGTGATAAACCACCAAAATAATCTTTTCTAGAAGAAAAAATATATTGCAATCATTTCTAATTCTCAACTTGCATTATACCATAGTTATGTGTATGGTTTGTATTCTGAAAAATAACTTCCAGTTCTGCAGTAATGGACGTGCACAGGATCCTATAAAACTCTGTGTGCATTTTTAGAAAGCAAGAATTCATAATCTGAGAAAATATGCCTGGTATATGTACCATAGTTATCAAATATTTTCCCAATCAGTAGCTTGTCAGTCCCTAGGTTTGGGGCCTCCAGGGAATTTTAAACCAGTTTTCTGGGAAATAGTTGAATCCATATCCATCCATCTATCCATCTGTCCATCCTCATACATTCATATAAGTGTAGAAACAATCTAAACCTATATAATTTCTCAAGATGGGTCTAATTCACCTCCTCCATTACTGTCATGGTTTCTGAATCTGAATGCAAATATTTGTTGGCTCAAAAAGCCTAATGAAATCATCCACTTTTACCCTGGCTGGAATGGCCTAGCAGGGCTTGGAATCAATTTTCTATTTAGGGAGTTGAGTGAGGGAAGAAAAATCAATTGCATCGGTGGATGCAATTCCACTGTTGCAATTGCACCACTGCAGACCATTCCAACAAATACATTGCAAAGGTTCTCTAAGTCAGGGCTTTTCAACCAGTGGTACGGGTATCACCTGTGGTACATTGGCACCTGGCAGGTGGTACACGACCATCCTAGAAAAGTGGTAGCGGGGGAGGGGAATGAGCTGAACCAGTGGCAGCACTGCACAAGCCTGAGCAAGAGATGGCTGAAGCTGAGGGCTGTCAGGGCTCAGCGGAAGCGCCAGGATCAGTGCATCTTCGGGGCTGTCAGAGCTCAGTGGAAGCGCCAGGATCAGTGCCGGGCTCCAGCTGAGCCCAGAAGAACCGCCTATCAGCTGGAATGTTGCAGCATCTCCAGGGTCTTGTGATTTACATTCAGATGCTTGGCAACTGATTCATATTTATGATGGTCACAGTGTCCCAGGGTCATGTGAAGTGACCAAAACCTGCTGCAACCACCCAGCAGAAGGGGGGGAATAAAAAACAAACACCCCCACCCCACCCCCGCTGCCAATCCTCAACAGGAATGCTCACAACAATTAAAACCTCGGATAGGAAGAACGCCGCAGGCAGGTGTCTTGCTCGGCTGTGCCTTGGGGGGCACGTTTTTCAGTGCTATTGTAACTCCAAACAGTCATTAAGCGAACTGTTGTAAGTCAAGGACTACCTGTACTTTATCACTTTTTTTCCTTTTTTTTTTCATCAAGTTTTTGACACTTTGCTAGGCGACTGGTGGTACTTGGATATTGCCGTATCCTAAAAGTGGTACAATGGGTGAAAAGGTTGAAAAGCCCTGCTCTTTGTATTTTATGCACTTCTACTCATTTGTGATCCAATTTTTTAAGACTGATCCAACTGCTAATATTTATAGTTGATTGTAAACCTACAGTGTATTATGCAAAGTGAAAATGCCATGGGATTGATAGTTTAGTTTTCAGAAAGAAACTGTTCTTCTGGAGCCATTGAACTAGATATGCAAGCCCCCCAATATTTTGCTTTTAAACAAAGATCTGTTGTGTTGCTGCAGGGGTGATATATGAAATGGCTTATCTATCAGAGAATGAGCATACGTTTGCAACAGGAAAAGTAAATTCCACCATATGTACCGTATCTTCTGATGGCACAGTCAGGGCATGGAATGTCCAAGAGGTAAGAAAAAGGAGCATATAGAGTAAATAACTTCAAAGATTTGCAGAGGAGAACCATAAAGACCTGGCTTTTTCCCAGGCTTCCGGCTAGTGTAGCTAATGCCCCCTTTGTTGGATGTTAGTTGATGCTGGGATGTTTTGTCTTTTTCTTTGTATCTGATTGTGTTTGATTATCTCTATTGTACTGTTTTTATTCAGTATTGTTTTTGTGTATTGCGAGCTGACAAAAGCCATTTGGAGTCAGTATCAAATTGGATAAATATATAAAATCTTTAAAAATGTTGTACATAAAAACTTAAAAAAAACAAACAAATCCAATGCATATTACTGAGCCCTTTGTTGAAAAGTTGGAGGTCTGAAGCTTCCTCTACCAGAAGATCTCTGTATCATGACACTCTTGTCCCACTTCCTGTTTTGGGAGAGTGGCTCAATAATTTCCTGTTGCTACCACCTATCTTTCAGGAGTGGCACATCTGCTGTCTACCCCTGACCCCTAATGTGCTTCCTTTCTGATGATTGAAAGGTCAAAAAGCAAATGCAGAAATAATTTTTATAGTTCCACCTCCTGGCCATGTAGCCTAAAATAATGTGAATAGAGAATTCAGCCCATTTCCCCCCCATCCCTGCTTTAGAAGTAAAACAGCTTCTAAAAATAAACAAAATAAAATATTAAAAAAACAGAAAAGAAAATGTAAAATACTCTATTCAGTTTTATGTAGTGAAATGCAAATAATCAGTGCTGTGAAAGAAAAGGTACCGTTACATCAATCATAGTCAACAGTCTTAAATTCTAAAAGAAAATATATTGGCCTGTGTAGGCCAGCAGATCATTCTTGTTGAAATGAGTGCTCTTGAGCAGAATCTCAGAGATCTCAGAAGAGATGCTGTTTACAATTGTTTTATAGATCATAAAAATATTCTAGAACAAAAGGAAACATTTTTGGATGTATCTGTAGTATGCAAACATACTATTCAGTTCCTTAACTTCTATAGACAAAAAGAACATGTGATCACCATCTACATGTTCTACACCATCTCAGCTAGCTTCTGATAAGCAAAGTCAATGGAGGAAATCTAGATTTACTTAATGACTGCAGATTTATTTAACTGTGATTTGCTTAATGTCCATGACAAAAAATGATTGTGAAATTGGGTGTGACTCACTTAACAACTATGCTGCTTAGTAGTGAAAGTTAGGATCCCAATTGTGGTCATAAAATGAGAATTGTTTATATATCTATTCTTTTACTTCAATTGGCAGGAAGTTATTGTGATTAAAAGTTGTCTTCTTATTGTTCATGAAACAGAATTCTACAATGAGTATTCATCAATGCACTTAAACAATATAGATGATTAAATTTTTGATTGCCAAAGGAACCCCTTTAATTGAATTTCACCACTGAATATAGGTTGTTTATGGGGATAATGGTGGTAAAATGAGCTTTGTGCATTGCTGGGTCAAAAATCTAAAGATAGTGAATCAGGCAAAACTGAATTTTGTTATCAAGAAGAAGGTGGATGATCTATGACAACTGATGAGTTTCAGGTAAGAAAGGCTGATAAGAGTGGTTGATGAACAATCAGCAGATCAAAAGGAAATTTCTGTCATATTGTTGCTACTCTTCCAAATTGCAAGATTTGTGCAAGATGCATCCTTTGTATGCTAATGGAAGAGATGAAAATGTCAAGAAATTTGCCAGCAAGTCATGTTATGAGAATAACGATGACTTTCTTTACTGCCTTGTGACAATTGATGACACTCAGGATCATTATTGTGTCCCAGAAATGACCCATCCATCCAGGGAATATCATCACTAAATTTAAGTTGCTTTAAAAAAATGTAAACCCTGGCTTTGGCAGGAAAACTCATGGTTAGTTTTTGGGGACTTGGATAATGCTATTCACATGGGTTTCCTGGAACCTGGCACCACTATCAACTCAGTGCTAAACTGTAACATTCAAAACTTTGAAACAGTTAAGCAGAATCCAGAAGCAAGAAATAAATTTTGCTGGAAGGTGGTAACATTAAACTTGACATCCCATCAGCCACCCAAAAGGCAATTGTAAAGTTGGAGCTCACTATCTTACCCCATCCATCATACAGCCCAGTTCTGGCACCATGTGACTACTTTTTCCCTAAATTGAAAATTTACTCTCAAGGGAATTGTTTGATCCAAATGAAGAGGTAGAAAGGACTCACCAAGGTCTGGGTAAAAGGATAAGTTAAAGAAGTTCTTTCATAACAGCTTTAAGATGCAAGTAAGAGAAAGCTGACCCACTCTATTTAACACATTCAAGAAACAGCATTAAATAACATTCCAATAACGTTCTGAAAGTGGAATGTTATTTTGAAGATGTAGTGCGAGCTATATAAACAATCTACTGTTTCTTGAAGAATGCAGCACATGAAAAATAGCTGATAAAGACATACCTGAGGCAGATAACAAAAAATCATGTGAAAGGAAATAAAGTATTACAAATCTGGATATTTAGACACTTTTTTCTCCCAAGACTGTTTTCACAACAATGCAAATTTTTAAATTCCCCGGTTTAATGGTCTTTGGGGGCATAGACATCACAACTGCGATCCAAAGGAAGTTCTTATTTTATGTGAAATGAACTAAACTCTTTTAGGAATTTTTGACCACAGCTCAGGACTTTGAAATACAATGGAAAAGTCTGACTCATTATCATGATCTAATAGAGAAATAAATTAAGTGAACAAGTTTCAACAAGATAAAAATTATTATTTTTTGCTAAATAAAATAAAAATACAGTTTTTCACCAAACAAGTGTATTGGAACAGAAACTAGATATCTTTTCATGGAAAAGTATTTCAGATTGAAAAGAATGCATGGTACATAAACTTGCAATAATGATTGCACTAACAGGAAGATGTGTTTTTTTTTTTTTTAAAAAAGTGTTAATCAGATAGAATGAATTTTCTTTTTTCTTTTATCAGGGTAAACAGATTTGGTCTAGTCCCCAACAGGAATTTCCACTAGTAAATATTATCACATTTCCTGCATTTAACCTGGCAGCTACAGCAGACACTCAGGGGACAATCACACTCTGGCATGGGACTACAGGGGAAGAGCTTTCTACTTTTTCAGTGTTATCCACATCATGCTGTATGGTAGCCTACACAATAAAGAATAATCCATTCTTAATGGTAAGTAACACACTAAAAGAGTTGATCGCCATCCTCAAGGAAACTTTCTTCTGATTGCAAAATATTTATAAAATAGGACTAAATATTTATAAAGTTATAGAACTAAAAGTAGCCTGTTTACCTGTGGCAGCTGTGTCAGTCAGAAATCAGCACCATCCCTTTTGTGTGGCCATAACATCTTGGGGCATCCATGGAGTTTGGGAAGTAGCACCTTTTTCTTACTTCACAGTTTAGCAGCATTTCCTCTAGACATGAAGCATGGGGAGTTTCCCATTGCTTGGAACTCCCACATTTCTCTTCTTAAAGCCTGGAATTTCCCCCTCTCCCTAAATGGTAAAAGTGGTCATCCTATATTCTCCATAGTTGCTTGGAAGATTAGGATTAGGTCTTTCTCAATGCGGGAAGTTTTGAAGATGCCTGATTCCTCTTGATGTGAAAAGAAACTTTAGCAAGGACGCTGAAAGGAGGCCAGGCACCAATTAGCTGCCACAATGTTACCCCGTTGGCCAGCTGTAAGAAAAATATTATTTGTAGTTCAGCGGTTGACATTCAAGGCTTTATAGAGCTGATGGAATTAGCTGATGGTCCAATTAGCTTAGCAATTTTTGTAGATACTAATTTGCCAGAAATTGGCTGTAGTAGAGTAGAGCTTTTGCTTATCTCCAGTCTGTTATTTTGAATTTTTATGAAGCAATTAGTATCTCTGAAACTCATTGTATTTTGCATACTTTTTCCTCTTCTTTGATTTAGGTGGGCACTGAAGAAGGCTCACTTTATACCTTGGCAGCAACTGATCTAAGCCAAATTTTATACAAAAAATTGTTTCAGAACTGTGGTATACAGTTGTCTTTGTGTTCACCAGATGGACAATGGATACTTGTTTGTCCTAGTGATACTGCTTTTTCACCAAAGGTATGGCTTCCATTATGATGAAATGTGTCTGTTGAGACCTAGTGGCATTGCAACAAAGCAGACAAAACCATTTGTAATTATTTCAGAAGGGCTAGCTAGGCAAAAAGCAAGAGGGATAAGAATGGCAAGGAAATAGAATTCAAGAGTCTTAACAGTTAAGAGATTCAACTCGCGGCGAGGGAGACTTTTCTTCACTGGAGGTGTGTATACAAAACATGGATGCCCATTTTTCAAGGTTACTACATAATGGATTCCTGCCGTGGTTTGGGCTTGATGACTTATAACAAAGTAATTTGCAACTGTTATGTTCTTTGACATAGGGCAGTCTTGGTGGATTTTAGAATGGCTGTAATATTTAAACTCTTTTGTTTCCTTCACATGACTAACATTCTGGATCTGATTGTTACTGCTTCTACCCAGCTGTTCTTTCTGAGAAAACATTTGTGAAATGCAGCCACAAAATTGATCGCAGCTAATACAGACTGAGGACAGTTACAGTAGCAAAATTATGGTTTTACTGTTTTGTGCTGCATTGTATGTCATCCTGAGAGTTTTGGCTCTGACTTATTAAATGCGTAAATAAAATAAGCATTTGTGTTTGCTCCATGTTTATTCTTTGCCTTTCTTTAATAAGTTGCTAAAGAAAACTAAGAACTTGAAATTTGTCTAATTAGTTTTTTGGTTCTAGTAGACATTATTCTGTTCAGATTTTTCTAACAAATTGGTAATCTGCCTGTAGCAGATCTTGTATATCAAAGTTTCACCTGTAGATAGTAGCCTAGGTTCAAAGAATGGTATTTCTAACTTTATGGTAAGGTTTGCATTTTTCAAATGGGAAAAATGGGAACAAGTTTCAAAAATCATGTATGATGCATTCAAATAAGATGGGTCAGGTATTAGAAGCTGTGGATTATAAGCAGATCAAAGGCTCAACTCCCAGCATTTTAGAAAGGTTTAGAAAGGATTTCTTGGAAAGTTGTTGCCAAGCAATATAAACCAGATGCTGGTAACCAGGTGCTTTCTCAAGCATTTGAACTGTAATTCCCATCGGATATGCTGGCTAGAGCTGAATGTAGATACACCATTTTTTTTATCTCATGGATAGACAGTCCTGAGATAAATCAATGTCCCTAGTTGGGACAAAAAGTTTAATATATTGACATATATTTTTGAATAAAGTTCAAAAGTTGCACTATTTCTAAAAAGTATAAAATAAATTTTTGGATCCCAACTTATTGGTATGATTTTATTTTTGCGTATCAGGTATTTAACACACTTTATGCAACTCAACCAGAAGATGATGATTTGATGCTATCTAGTCCTTTACCTATTATAAATCATTGTGATGTGATGTGCTGGTTACCAGCAGAATCAGCAAGAATTGCCATTTTGCACAAAAATGAGATGTTCCACATTGATAGCTTTGATATAGTAATTGAGAAGTCTAAATGCAAAAAGAATGTAACAGGTAGGTTTCATCAAGTTGTTGAGTAATTTTAGAAGTGCCACTGGATATTTAAAATGTGCTGAACCATAATGGAGAAAAATATAAAATGTTTTGTCAGACAGTAACATTATTAAGACTAAATATATCCAAATAGTAGCTTTTTACTATTTTTGACAACAATATATCCAAAGTTTTTCTATACAAACATACAGGTGTCATTTCTAATCCCTGAATAATATTCTGGAGAAAATCCTTTCTGACAGCTTTTAGAGTTTCTTAGATTACATAATCTTCTAAAATGACTTACTCTATTTGAAGTTCTGTAGAAATCTAGAGCCTTTAATTCCTTTTGAGTATTCATTCTTTGTTATTTGAAATACTCATACCCTACTTTGCTACCACAGTCTCCTGGAATATTTACAAAAAGGAAATATATGATAGTTGGAGTGGACAAAATGGTAAAAGAAATATAAATTATATTGGTTGGTTGAATTGCCTAGAAGATTGGTAATATACAGATTCTAAATTAATAGTTGGCAATCTAGTGCATATGATAGTTGGAATGGAGAGAAAGATAAAATAACTATGGCTGATAATTGGTTGAATTGCCTAGATGGTTGGTAATATACAGATTCTAATGACTTGCAATTTGTTGTAAACTGCCCAGAGTTACGTTGCAGTGAAATGGGCAGCAAACAAATTTAATAAATAAAATAAATAAAATTCATTTATTTATTACCAGGCTGTCCTGTCCTTGGTTAAGCTTTTCCTTTTCCTTTTATTTCTTTCAATTTTTATTGTTCTTATTACTTTCAGTTAAAATAAGCTTAGATTTGCTCACTAATGGTTGCCTAAATGCCTATGATACAGCCCCAGCTGCTGGTATGGACTCTCTTGGTGCAGCCCTATGTCCCAAGTGTAGAGACTCTGGTGAGTGGTAGCCACCAAGATGTCTTTGGAGGAATGAGTCCCATTGCTCATGCTATGCCAGAAGACTGGGTGACTTTGGGCCTGTCCCTCTCAGCCCAATTTGCCTCACAGAGTTTTTGTCGTGGGGAAAATAGCACTATTGGATATGTTCATTGCCTTGAGTTATTTATAAAAACAATAAAGGCAAGATGTAAATAAAATTAATAAAATAATGTTATCAAGTGAAATTATCTTCCCATCTTTGATGTTATTTGGCAGTGTCAGGATTGCAATTCTTAGAACTCCTAATCAATATAACAAAGAACTTTTGGGTGAAATAGAATACAGATTTTGATTGTTTATATGATAGAAGAATGAGTGTTATATTCTTTTTATGCAAAAGCTCAACAGGTTGCAAGCTTCACACTGCCAGCCCATCAGCAGATGACAAATATGAAAGGATTTGGCAAACAAACCCTTCTTATAGCAGCTGGACCAGAACTGACAGTATACTCTCTGAATGGGACTGTATTGATGGCTTTCAAGGATCATCATAAAATTATTACATCTATTTGGGTGGTATAGTGACTCTTCCTCATTTACAGACATTTTAGTCTATTATTTTGCTAAAAAAAAAAAACCTGAGTAGTTGTTACTTTCTGCTCTGCATAAGTATTAGGCATATTTAACTAAACAACTTTCCATCCTACCCCAGGATCCTTTTCATGTTGTGACATCTTCCATGGACCTTTCACTCCGTGTGTACTCCTGGAAAAATAACAAATCCTCTTTGTTGACAAGTTGTTATCATTTATTGGGAGGATCTCACAGATGGTCAAGGTAAGTTTCATCTTTTAAAAACTGTTATGGTTTGTTGCCATTTTAACGGCCTAGTGACAGTGTGAACATTTCATTTAATATTTTTTAAATGTGATTATAGTATTGAGCACCCACTGGCAATTTATCTTGTTCAGGACTCCCGTATAACTAGTTGACAGTTTCTCCTGCCTGAACTTGTCTATTTAAGATGTAGCAGAGAAGTCTTTTGTGTATTCATGCAGGCTTTCTGCACAGAAAAATTCCTCCATTCGTCCCCAAGTTGTTACATGCAGATTGAAATTTTCCTTTTCTTATTCAGCTTTCAAACCTCATCTGACCCTTTCAGGCTGATTAGAGAATATTTTAACCTGATTTGCTCATTATTAGCCATGATGTTCTCTTTAAAAGGTGGATTAAAAATGTTTAATTTCTTATTGTATATCTCAAACGGGGTGTGGGAGATCCGCTTTTCCTTTTATGGTGATACCTACTCACCAATTTATCCAAGCATTAGCAGGTTAATAGCTTTGATATGTCAAGTAATCTCTGTATATTTTTAAATTCTTTTAACATTTTTTTTATAATCACAAGTATTTGTATCTGAAGACCACAGATAAACTTTCCAATTGCAAATTACAGAATCAAGTGTAGTGCATCATGCAATGAGCCAACTGATGTAGGCTTTGGAGTATATCTCAGCCTGCAATGAAATATTCTGTTCCATGTAAAACCTGGGTCCATAGTTTGATTTCTTGTACTTTACATATTGATTTCAATCTGACTTGTTTAACTAAGTACAACGCAAATATTTCATTCACATAGTGGCTTCAGATCTGTGACATGCGATGATGTCAGTATTGTTGGAATAGTGGCTGGAATTGATGGCAAAGACATTTTAAGAGCATATTCTTTTCATCTGTAAGAGTTCTGTGCACTTCTGTTTCACTCTAAATCTTATCCACCAAGTTGTCCAACTCAAGTGACAATAGAAGCATGATTGAAACCACTACAACTAATTGACTGAAGTGATCAATTACCTTTTCAATAACCAATTTGACTAAATTCCACTTGACATGAAAAAGACCTACAAGAGCTTTGTTTAGCTTTATTAAATATACCTTATACCTTAGATGTGTGTGTATAATTTTACATTCTGTGTTTACATATGCTTGTTTTGCTTTGTTTTTCCATTAATAAATGCTACTTTCTAAAAGTTATGTCTGAATATACAGTATAAATTATACTCTCCAAGATTTTTGTTCATTGTGGAAAAATACTTCCTAGGCTAAGTGTCATTATAAATAAATAGATAACCTGTTTGCTGCATGAACAATGTGTATTTCAAAAATCATTTCATAGGGATCACCAAAGGTTATGTACTAGAGGTAGATATATTTTGTAGTGTTAAAGAAATTCTAATTTAATAATTGCATATATTGAACAGGATCATCCAGAAAACAATATGGAATTCTTTCCAAATCTTTAACACCAGTGATATTAGGAGATGTTGTTTTTTTAACATAGCAAAGTAACACGCTGTGCCTACGTGCAGACATATTGCTTCTGTTATGGGTAAGAATCTAGTCAGAGATATGAGAAACTGTATGAACAATAATTTAATAGGTACAAGAGGCAGGCCAGTCAAGGGGGGCGGGGGGTTGTGGGAGGAAAAAAGTTCCAAGATTCTATCTGAAGTGGCTTGCTGTGTGTATCACTTTTAGTTTTTGTGTGTGTTTTTTTTAAAACTGGGAACTTATTTTTATAGTTTAAGATTATGCTTTTTATCCTTAATGGCATTTTCAGTCACTTTCTGAAATTTGCTTGGCTCTTATTCCTTGAGTTTACCAGCTATGTGAGCTTGAAAAGAGGTGCTTATGTTTCCTGTGTTTCTGTTCTCCTCTTGTTTGCACGTTTATATTCTGCACTGGGAACCATGAGTCGGGCTGAATGAACCAGGAGGCGAGAGACTTAGAATGGAGCAGTTGACAACATTTCAAGACACTGTCCAATTGTCTTTCCCAGAAGAATACATTGGGAGAAACAAATTTGGGATTCTTTTTTCTCCCTGGCTTGATTCAGCCCATTTTTACTGTTTTTGTTTGTTTTTGCAGGATGGGGTGAGAGGAATCTGGTTCTTTTCCAACACCTTCTACAGTCCTGTTCTGTACAATTTTAGGAAAGTTATTCTTCTGATATGAAGACCAAATCTCAATCTCCTTTACCTAGAACACAGTTGCTTAGGCATACCAACAAAAAATATAGAGGTTTTATTAAAATATTAAAGACGTTTGTAGAAGAAAAAAACAGAAAATATTAGAAGTGAATACATAAGAAACACAATAAGCTATCTCAAAATAATTTCTTCTTGGACTGAATTTATATTTTATTATGAACATTACAAACATACAACAGCAGTTCTAGGCTTAAAATGAATTTGAAATCACAACCACACTTCTCCCTAGTATGCAGGTACATTTTTCTTTTTTGGTTCCTACATTCTTCTGGCAAAGGGAAAAGTATTCCATCAAGGCAGTTTAAAGAACCTCTGCATTATTGGTTTGATTCAAGGGACAAAAGTGTAATGGTAAATCTTGCAAACTTATACAATCACTTAAGATTAGGAACATGTAATTCGACCAACTATGATCCTGTTGTGATATTAAAGCCCTAAGAAAGGCAGCAGGTTGTATAGTTAACTCCTTGTAGGCAAAACCACTGCCCTAAAACTATGCAACCTACTACCTCTTCCTAGGAACCCCACCATTTCTTCTGTAATTCTTCTAAAAGAAAAGAAGTCATTGTGAAAAGTTATGCACATCTTTAAAGATTATGCAGTATAAAACACATGCAGGTTCATTACCATTGTTCATTTGTGGTAAACAGGAAACATCCTTAAGTGTTAAATATTTTGATATATGAAATCATTAATATATACACACATATATCCCCAGTCCATTTAAAACAAAACAATGGCTACTTTCTTAAAGTACAATTCAGCTTCCCTAGAATGTAGTTTTGAAATAGATATTCAGTAAGACCATGAATATACAAACATAACAGATATACTCTGTCCCTCATGAAGTATATTTCAGTAGATAAAAGCAAATGATTCTTACAACCTCATGTACATAATTTGACAGTAAAAACAAAGACACTTGTAAATTTATTTTAAGCTAAACTACAAATAATCCATTAAGAATACTGTAGAATTTTTACTCCTCAGGGAAGGCAATAGATTGTATAGTTATCTCCTGAAGAGGGCAAAATAACTACCCTACAACTATACAATCTACTACCTCAACCTGATAAGAGAAATATATTTAGAAAGTAAATTTGTTTAGAGAATATTCCTTTGAATTTGATTCTAAAGTGCACTAGGAAACTTTTGTTTCACATATCCCCCGCATCAAGGCTATATAAAAAGGAGCAGGCATTTTAAACTATGGAAAACAGGTACTAGGAATAGAAAACTACTGCCACAACTGGTCAAAAGTAATTTGAACACAAACATTTTTTTAATTACCTTTGCATGAATCATTTCCCTCGCAAGTCCCCCATACCATGGCTCAACTTTGAGTATTATTAAATATGACACTGGTGCAAGTTCCCTGTTGTTCACTTTGCTTCCTTGAAATAATGTTCAATTACGTACATTATCTACCACTGCAAGTACAGTTTCAGTAATAAAACCAGACTGATATTGATGATTATCTGCTTCCTTAGGAAAGACAGTAGACTGTATAGTTATCTCCCAGTGGTGGGTATGACCCTAAAACTATACAACCTACTACCTCATCCCACAGAGCAGTATTTTCATTTAAAAGATGGCAGTCTTTTTTTAAAAGGATGCTAAAACAAACATCTCTTCAGTTGTTTAATCATCTATTTCAAAGCCGTTCTTTCTAGTTCGATATCCAAATGATTCAGTCTGGGATAACTTCTTTGGATGAAGAAATTGAGTGCAAATACTGATGCAAGGCAACTATTATATGGCGTTTGTCATTCTATTCCACTTTCAAACCTAAAAGGAGGAAGGAAAGTTAATGAAAACCATCCTAAATAAATAAAAGCAAGCAACTGCAATTTCAGCAGTAAGAAATGCCAGATGTTATGACAATGCATAAATGGGGCACGAAAACAATCTTATTCTTTATACTGAAATAAAATGCAGGTTGTAAACAATGTTTTGGTGCATTTGTTATAGTGAAAATTGCTCCTGTAGATAACAATATTCAAGTGTTAGAAATTCTGAATGAACTATAGAAATGTTACTTATGTTTAAAATCTAGGGGTTTTTTTCTCCATCTCAAACAGATAATATATGCAAAAGTGAGTAAGAAATAGACAGGGACAAGTTGGGTGAGAATGAATAACCATGACAGTAAATAAAGATAGGGGACATACTGAAATTTGAAAGACAAGTATGTCCAGTGAAAGCTATGAGAAATCCATAGTTTAAAACCATAGGGCCACATAATAAATTTAAACTTTATTATATTTGAGCGGGATAATCAAACCAGTTGAATAAGGTTTATACTCCTATCAGAAAAACTGCCCTTGCAATATTCTAGTAAATTTACCTAAATTAATAAATTTACTGTGTTAAAGGTATGGCTTGTGTTTTAGTACATTGGGAATGAATTGAACATATTACATTTGCTTCTTTGCTCAATGAACTCTGTGATGCATACCATTTTTAAAAATACACATATTTTTCAGATGTAACAGCTCCTGAAAAGCTTATAAAATATTTGATCTAAGGTAACTGTATTCAATTACTTCTTCTAAGGACGAATATAAAAATGAGGAAGGCATATGACAGCTTATTCCTACAAGATAACTTTATTAGTATTCAATAATTTGATTTAGTAAATTTGTCAATCAGATTTCATGTCATTATTTGAATTAATCCATCAAATTACTTGAAATGCATAAATTTCATTGAAGCACTAACCCAGGGATGTCAAACTCGCAATGGCACGTGATATGTTGCGACATATCGTGACTTTTTTGCCATTGCTGGCAATGGGGTGAGCATGGCTTTGTTATGATGCATCTGGCCTGCGGGCTGGCAGTTTGACACCCCTGCACTAACTCATCACTGTGCTAGCTTCACTTTCAAGACAAAATGTTGTCAATTCTCCCCAACACCTGCATATATTCATAAATATTTGAGGTTTACCGGCAGAAGCAATCACTCAGCATTTGTAGCAAACAATCAAAAGGCATTCACCATTTGTTTGTTTCAAAAGTGCTTTTATAAGTGCTTTTAATCTTTTATAAGTTTAGGAAAAGATCAAATACACTGAAAGCAGCTCCCATATTTGATAGTTGCTTGAACTAAGCTTCACATATATACTAATATGCTCCAATTAAATTGAAACCAAATCCCTTTCAAATTGTTTAGTAAATCCTTACTCAGAAATGCACAAATATTTTAAATTTTAAAAGCCACGTTTGCTGTGATAATTGCTGTGTAAATTGAATGATTCTATATTCTATGAATTTCACACTAATATTAACATATTCCCCACATATTGGAAGTTCTGACCTTGCTCTTAGAAATAAAGTTGTCAACAGTCTATCCTTCTGTACACAAATAATCTTTTTGGAAATCTTGACTGGCTTAGTTTAAAGTAAAAGCAAATTGGTCAATTTCATGGCTTTTTATATGAAACTTATCTCTGTTACCAATATATTTCTATTTTGATATCTGTTATAACAGTTTCCAAAGAATGTTAAGAGTTGTTTTTTGAACAAATTACTAATTTAATTACTTTCAAGACATTACATATACAGGAAGTTTTCTGAAAGACTTCATCTTAGGTTTATGTTTATGTCTGGAAAAGAGAAAAAACATTCTACATTCCTTCATCATTTCAAATTAAGACACTGTACTGTCAGTTTGAAAAGTAAAGTTTAACTTAACAGGACCAAAACTTGCAGTGGCAAAAGAAAAGGCTTAAACACAGTTTTAAAGCATTTTCCTTTATCCCCTTTCAAAGATAAAATAGAGTCATCCCATCCAAGGGCAATGCTTCTCCTTTCCCAGCTGTGCATAAACAGATACACCTTGTCAGCTTTCAAGTAGGTAATGCCATGTAATGAAATTTCACTAGAGAAGAAATTTTTTGCAACTTTACTTCCAACCCAAAAGAAGATACAGGAAGGGCAGCTGAAAAAAGTAAGATACCAGCATCCATTAAAAAAGTACTATTCCCAGATTATAATCGCTCAATGTTTGAATTGGAGGTAAAGCTGCATCAAAAAGAATAATTAGCAAACCTGCCAGCAAGAAAAGAAAAACCGACACTCAAAATCCATTGTAGCCTTCGCACCTCCAACGAGTCCCAACATGATCTGCTGATTAAAATAGCGGATGGCTTAAATAAGGAGCGCCACAAAATGAAAAACTCCCCCTATCTCTGACGAAGTTACATTGCTTCAAATTCAAACTACTTTTAGTTTTCCAACCCGAGACGGGCTGTTCGAATCAGCTAAAGAGGCGCCAAACATTTCATTGCCAGATCTCCTCCAGCTGTTTCCCCAAAAGCAAGCCGCCTCTCCAATGAAAGGAGCAGGCTCGCCAAGCCAGCGTGGACAGTATTATTCCTCCGATCAGAAGAGAAAGACCGCGCGGGAAGGAGAGACGGCGCGCCTCGTGGTAGCAAAGCCGCTTGCCAAGAAGCAGCCCACCTCCTTTTTTTTGACCCGCTCCGGCCCAAGAGGCTCCGGGCCATCGGGACCCCCGCCGCCCAGCAGCGGGCCTTCCCTCATCTCTCGCGCTCCTCGCTCGCTCCCTCGCCCGGGCGCTCGTGGTCCGGTGCTCGAGCCGGTGGGGGAAGGGTGGGGGCTCGAAGGCGCGCGCGAGGAGGAAACTACGACAGTGCTCGGCCGGCAATAGGCGGGAAGTGGGGCGTCTCGAGAGATGGGGCGGGGCTTGCCCATCGTGCTCGGGAGTCCCCGCCGCAGCATCATCTCGCGCCCCACCCCCTTCCCATTCCCTCCCTGGCAGCCAAGGTCTCCCTTGCCCGTCTCGAACTTGCTACGGGAAATGACGCGCCACCTAGGAGAGGCATCTCCGGCCAATCGCGGGAAGGACCACAGCCCAGAGGCCAATCAGTCGCCGCCAAATGGGCGGCGCTTCTCGGACATTCAGGTTTGTCAGGGAAGGCGCGGCAAGGAGAGGGAGGGGGCCGAAGGGGAAGAAAGGATGCAGGGATAAAGCGGGCAGAAAGAAAGGGCGGGAGGGAGCGGGAAACTTCGTCCTTTTCTCCCTCCCACCCATCGCCTCAGAAATAGCAGAAAGATCGCCTGAAGGCCGATAGCCGTCCTCCCGCGCAGGCGAAACCATCCCGCTCCTGTGTGAACAGGCCAACATCTTTCGCTGATCCCGTCTCTCCCCTCCCTTGGCCGCGATCACACGACCGTTACCTGCAGCACGGTCATTCACGTCTCTACAGCACTACCAGGACCCGGATGAAGTCGTCCTTGGTAGCGGCGACGGCGCCGCTACTGCAGCAGTGCTACCGCCTTTCACAGCGTTGGATCACGGGAAAAAAAACGGATGACGTTCCCACCCCCTCCCCAAAGCGCCTAAGAAAGCTCCGCCTTCCAACCGTATGGCGAGTTAGGAGGGCGGACAACCTACCCGTCCGTTACCATGTTTGGTTTCAACCATTGGCGTAGAGTCGGGACAGCTCCGCCCCTTTGGTAGATTGAGAGCTCTGATTGGACAAGATGAGCGCTCCGGTGGCAGCAGCTGGCTTCCTTACCTGGTTGGGGCTTGAATGCTGCGGACCTCGATTCATCTCTTTCCTTTTTGTCTTTTGCCAAGGCGGGAGAATGTCTTCCCATTGACAGGGGCGGGGGAGGCTGAGCATCAAATCTCTCCGTAACATACCACACTGTCCTTCCTTGAAGATGAGTGAGAAGTGAATCCGAAGAGGTTCGATGCCAGCATTCACGGAAATCTTTTCTTGCACCCAACACCCCCCCAAAAAACTAAATTAGGATCCGCCCCGCGCGATCCTACTTGCAAATCACATTGAGATCCCCTGTAAAATGTTTTCGGATCGTCTTCCTGATCTGAAAGCCACTAATTCGATAATCAGGTAAAATACAGAATTAACACCATCTCCGAGTTCAATTAGGCTTACTGTCAGGTAAATGTGTATAGAACTGCAGCTTCCATGACTTTTGCTGCAACGTAATAACACGGCATGGCAACCTCTCGAGCATGCGGAAAATGGTATCCTGGAAAATGGAACCTTCCAAGAAATCTGAGTCCTGTGGAATTTGATGGAAGCGCGTTTGGAATTGGGTCAGACGCTTCTTCAAGCAAACTGCCAGTTATAAAAAGAGCGTAATAAAGGCCAAGGTGGTACTGGTGATGTACTTGGACCGGCAATCTGAGAAAATTGCTTTTGCAGTGTAGATGGCTATGATTCTTTTCATGGATTATGTGCCTTCAAATCATCTATGACTACACGAAAAAAAATCGTGATGCTGTTTCATCTGTGATTGCAGCTTTCTTACTGCTATAACTCTGCAATTTGCATATAAGTATCTTGTGGGAGCAAATTTAAAGTAGAAGGCATTTTCTCTTTACTGAAGTACTAATTTAAATTTAATCTTCAAAAATTATACTGCATAACTTACACCCACACAATAATTAATTTCTGTATAGCAGATTCAGGGAACTTTAGGCTGCAAAAGGGCTGTTTCATAATAGACACCGTATGTGCAATGGCTTATGTTCTGTATTTGTGGGCTCACTGTTGGTTGTAAAAAAAATGTTCAAAGCACATGACAGGCTTAAACAGTTCCATTGCTTCTTTTCAACAGAGAAACACTGAAATGCTGCGTGCTTCTTCTTTTACAAGTTTATTTATGCAAAGCATGTGATATTTTATCTGCAGCTATCGCCTCTTCCTTGCATGGGATCCTAAGAAAGCAGTCATTCATTAAAAGATTTTTTTTTAAAAAAAGCAGAAGTTCGCTTGGAATGGAAGCTGTTAGTTTTACTTCCTTACTTTTAACTTCTTTGTAAAGGGAGCACCATCACCATTATGTGTTCTTCCTCTTTTTTTGTCCTCAGCTCCTCTCTTTGTCCTCAGCTTCTCTCTCTGAATTTATAATTTTTGAAAAAAAAACTCTACAGTAATTGTTTATTTGGATATTGAGATGACATTAATAGGCTAGGTTGATCATTTCTATAAGGCAATCTACGGGGGATGTTGTACTCTAAGAAACTTCCAATTCTGTTATTAATACAGTCAGGAATAGAGAACATATATTAGGGACAGAATTTAAAAAGGTACAGGACTGGACAAAAATGACTATGTCATAAAAATGTACACAAAGGTAGAGCCTATCTTAGCATGTCCTATAAATATGTAGAAAATATCTGCATTTTTCAGGATAAATACAGTGACCAATCTGAAAAAGGTAATATTAACATTCTACAAAAAGCAGGAAACTGAGTTCTAATTCCGCTTTAGGTATGAAAGTTGACTGGGTGACATTGGGCCACTCTCTCTCAGCCAACCCACTTCATACTACTGTTGTGGAGAAAATAGGAAGAAGGTACTTGTTATAAAAATAATAAAGACAGTCAGTAAATAAATAAATAAATAAATAAGTAAAGCAAGGGGAAGCAATACAGCTCTGAGGGTTCAGTGACCCATATCACTTACCTTCTAAGAATCTTTTATTAACCAAGCTAAAAGTTGAGCAACATCATGGTTGTACCTGTTAACTGAAAATAATCGTGACAGCTCATAAAATAATTTAAGGTGTTATCCTCTTGTTCCTGTCCCTTTTTTCACTTAGTCAATGTCTTTTCTCTAATGAATTTCCTATTTCAATGAAAATGGAATTGCTATTGAGATTGGTACAAATGTATAAATAATTATGTTGGCTGAGGAAGTGGGATTTTATCATTTGCTCATACACTGTTACATAGAAATGAATCAAACATTTTCTCTAAATCGTTTCTAAAAGATACCGAAATTTCAGTTCTATTTTCTATCACAAGAGGGAGCCTGTGTTTTACACACACACACACACACACACACAGTTTGCGGCATTTAGTTATAATATGAGAACATGGCCCATTTAAGTTCTTTAATTCTTGAAATACAGACCTAAGGAAAATAAATTCTTACAAATCTCTGCAAAGAACAATATTTTATTTCTAATGCTGGGCACAGTCATTTTTTAAAGAGTCCCAGGAAATAAGAATGAATATCACTGTAGCCCTACACTGCTTAAATACATTAAATTGAAATGTGAAATACATTGCATTGTAATATCAGTTTCATAAATTTTTCTGAGAAAATTATTTGTATGATACAGCAACTTGGAACCAAGTCTTATTTTCATTGTGCTCCCAGTAAGGATCCAAGTGGTGATTAATGCCTCTTTGTTGAAGGGGGCATTGGTGTACCCTCTTCTTAAGAAGCCATTCTTGAACACAGTATTAGAAAACGTTCTTCCAGTCTCCAGTTATCCCTTTTCAGAAAGGATGTTTGAGAAGGTAGTTAGCCCAAAGCTACAAAGGACCCTGGATGAAGCAGATTGTCTTAACTCATTCCAGTCTGGGTTAGGCCAGGGCACAGCACTGAAAAACAGCCTTAGTCATACTTGTTAATGACCTTTCAAGGGATCAGGATGGGTGGCACAACCATTCTCACCCTCCTGAATCCCTCAGTGGCTTTCAGTACCATCAACCATGGTATTCTTCTGAACCAGCTCCAGGGGTTGGGAGGCACCTTGTTATAGTAGTTCTTCTTCGTCTGCAGCTGGTTCCAGGTGGTGTTGATAGGAAAAGGCTCCTTTTGCTTCTCCTTTTTAATGCCCACCTGAGACAACTAGGGGAGGTCATCTGGGGTCTGGTGTGATCAATATGCTAGTGATACCCAATTATCTCCTATCCCTAGCCAGACAGTGATGTTGTGGGGGCACTGGATAGATGCCTGGAGGCTTTAAGGGTCTGAATGGGGAGCAACTGGCTTGGACCCAACCACGGCAAGACAGAATGGCTCTGGGCTTTTGCTCCCGACTCCTCAGACTCAGGTGATATCCTATCTTTGACTCTGGATGGGGTGGAACTTCCCCAGATTGAGCCAATGCACAATGTGGGAGTCCTGGACTCATGGCTTTTGCTCAAGGAGCAGGTAGCAGCTGTGACTAGGGAGGCCTTTGCACAGATTTTGCAGGTGCACCAACTGTGTCCTTTCCTGGACGGAGAGGCCTTGCTGACACTCACTCATGTCTCGGTCATCTCCTGTTTGGATTACTGCAATGCGCTCTACATGGAGCTACCCTTGAAGACCAACCAGAAGCTTCAACTAGTCAAGAATCTGGTGGTGTGCACAGTGACGAGTGACCCTAGGTTTAGCCATGCAACACCTCTGTTGTGGGAACTGCACTGGCTTCCAGTTTCCTTCCTTCCAGGTGCAATTCAAGGTGCTAGTTATTACCTTTAAATCCCTATATGGCACAGGACCAGGTTATTTGTGAGACTGCCTTTCACCTGTCTTACCGGGTTAGATAAGGTTGGCATGCTCTTCATTCCTTCCCTGAAATATTGTCTTTTTGGTGGCAGGCCTGCCCTATAGAACGCTCTGCCTCCTGAAGTATGGAAGGCCTCTACCTTCTCTCTAGCTTTGTAAAAAGCACTGAAAGCATGGCTTTTCCAAGCACTGAGATAGGATGAGGTGCCAGGTATTATCAGAAACCAGGTGTTAATGTTTATTGCTTTAATAGTTTTAATTTGGTTTTATGCTTGTTTAAGTATTTATGGTTGCTTAAGCCTTGATTGGGAGCCATTTGGTATAAGCTGAGCAACTATATAATTGTTATAAATAAATCAATAAAATATGTGCAAAATTGTACTTAAACTATTTTATATTTGGACTCTGAAATTATAGAATCTGCATAAATATTTTCCTGTTGCAGCAATAAGATAAGAAATTACTCATAATAATTCCACAGATAACTATTTTAAAGTGGAACACTTTTGTTCTCTGCATTAGTCTGAATCTGCCATTTTGATTGATGGAAGTTGACTCAACAAGAAATGACAATCACTACCCAATAATAGGACCTCTATTTTTGTTATACATAATCTTGTTCTTCCAATGCCGGAGAAATATCACCTGGAGCTGTTTGTCCTATTTGATGGGCGACTCATGATTTTTCCGTCATCTTCTTTGGTGTAGTACTGGGTCAGCCCACGCCTGTTAGTATGTTAGTTGATTCGGGGAATGTGCACTCCGCCACACGGTGACCCGGCCAGTTGCAACGGAAACACCGGAACACCGGTTTAGGACTTGCATTACTACTTGGCATCTGGTTGGTACTGTCCTTGGATTGATCCTGGCCCTTACGAGGCTGCAACCGTACTTCACGTGCTCCAGGCAATTCCCTTAGCCCAACATCTAACTCCACCGCCGCCTTGAACCATTCGGAAAGGCGTCCTACGATCCCTCTAACCACACATGCCCTGCGTAGGTCAATATCTAGTCCCGTGCGGAAATGATGGACCAGTAAATGATCTGGTCACGATCTAAGCCTTCCTGCCACTTTTTGGAAGTCCTGTATATAATCTTGTACTGGCCTGTTGCTTGTCAAACAGCATTCGAGTCCTTAAAGACATTATTCGCTCAAGAACCTGTATTAGTACATCCTGATCCGGGGCGGCGGTTTGTTGTACAGGACGATGCGAGCGACGTGGCAGTCGGAGCGGTATTATTGCAGCGTAATGACCAAGGTATTCTACAACCTTGCACTTATACCTCCAAGAAGTTCACTGATACAGAAAGATGCTGGGCGGTATGGGAAAAGGAAGCGTTTGCCGTGAAATGGGCCCTGTCCACGTGGCGCCATTTGTTGGAGGGCGCACAGCATCCCTTTGAAGTGTGGACAGACCACAAGAATTTAACGGTCCTCCAGACACCGAGGAGATTAGCTCCCAAACATGTTCGTTGGGCGCAATATTTCCAACGATTTAGGTTTCATTTTAAAGTTGTTCCAGGAGGGAAGAATTTCTTAGCGGACGCACTCTCACGTCTGCCACAATATGACAGCAAAAAGGAAGAGGTGATCCAAGCTATCATGCCTTCTGGCAGTGTTGAAGTCATACGAGCAGATGCCTGCGAAAAAACGACAGTATTCGAGGATGAAGTAAAGTCTGCTTTGTTAAATGACTCTTGGTCACTAGCTAATCCTGGATTGTTGACCTACCGAGATGGTTTAGCCTGGCACGGTGATAGACTATACATTCCACAGCGGTTACGGGACCAAGTGTACCACCGGTGCCATGATTCCAAATTAGCAGGCCATTTTGGGTTTTTGAAAACATTACATTTGGCGAGACGGCAGTTCTGGTGGCCGAGTTTGCGGAAGGACATTGAAAGCTATATGAAAGGGTGTCATATTTGTGCACAGGCAAAGGTAATTCCTAAAAAAACAATGGGATTACTCCAGTCAGTGTCTAATCCAACTCGGCCATGGCAGGACATTGGGATGGACTTTATAGTAGATTTACCAAATGTAAAAGGATATACAGTTATATGGACAGTGGTCGATTTATTTTCAAAGCAGGCCCATTTCATACCGTGTAAGGGACTACCATCGGCAAGGAAATTGGCTAAAATGTTCGTATACCAAGTGTTCCGACTGCATGGGGCGCCTCGCTGGATTATTTCGGACCGAGGTGTCCAATTTACAGTTCATTTTTGGCGGCAATTTCTGAGGTTTATTGGTACCACACAAGGGTTGAGTTCTGCATATCACCCTTGTACTAATGGGGCGGTGGAGCGGGCCAATGCGGCTATAGAGAGATATCTCCGATGTTACGTGTCTTACCAACAGTCCAATTGGGTAGATTTGGTACCATTTGCGGAGATTGCGTATAACAATGCGGTACATAAAAGTACTGGCCTAACCCCATTCCAAGTGGTATATGGACATGATATTACTCCACTACCGGAAAGTAGAAACCGGGAAACCCAGGTCGGTCAACCAAATGAGTGGTTGTCGCGAGTAGGTAAGGTTTGGAGTACAGTACGACACGCTCTGCAGCGGGCAGCTCAGACATCAAAGTATCAGGCAGATAAAGGTCGCAGAATGCCATTTCAATTATGGGTAGGCGACCTGGTATATTTGTCAACCAAGTATATTAAGTTGCAGGTGCCATGCAGAAAATTAGCACCAAAATACATCGGACCATTTCGTATACTCCAGATCCTCAATCCTGTGACGGTGAAGCTCCACTTACCGAAACTACTTGGTAAGATACACCCGGTTTTTCATGTAAGTTTGTTGAAACCCATGGGAGGACCATCCCATGAGACACCCCCAGGACCTGTTACGCCAGGACGATATGAAATACAGGACATAATTGATTCGCGAGTAAGGGGGGGTAGACTCTATTATCTGATATTGTGGAAGGGATACCCTCTGTCCGAAGCCTCTTGGGTAGAAAAACACGATATATCCGCCCCTGATCTAATCCGTCGGTATCACAGAGCACTACCACACAAACCAGGGGGTGACTGGAAAGGTTATTGTATGTGAACATTGGCATGATTAATCAATTTCCCATTTCTCACCTTCAGGGGGCCCTGTGGTGAAGGGGGCAGAATGTCAGACCCAGCGTGATACTTACCTTCCAAAGTCCAGAATGTTCCAGTTAACCCTGTGTTCCAGCCGAGTCTGGTAGCTTCGTGAGCTACATCGCCAACAGCGGCGGCCGAACGGGTCACATGAACATCCTATGTTGCCAGCACATAACCGGACGGAGGCTACATAGAAATGGAATATGGAGAAGCCGACTGCTGTTAAAACTGTTATGGCTTATGTTGCTGGAACCGTGACTCTGTGAATGATGGGAACTGGGACGCTGGGTCTGACAACACTTGGATACCGGGAGGGGGTATTATAGGAAGAGGTTGAGTGGGACATTAGGGATGAGAATGGCGTGAACGGAACGCATGGACTCAATGCAAGGTTTGAACATAAGTACTAGCTGGATCGGGGCGTGGACTCAATGTAAGGTTTGAACATAAGTACTAGCTGGATCGGGGTGTAGGTAGGGTGGAGGACTATCACAAGGCAGGTATGGGGAGGGGGACAGGTGGATTCCAGATGACCAATTAACCGTCAATTGGGGTGTGTACTCTGGGTGTGGTGGAGGAATGTATTTAGGGCAATGAATGGAGCTTCGTTCCAGTGCTAACTTAGTTTCAACATAGTGAATAAAGCTTGTTGAATACTGCAACGTTCCTGTTTCCTGGCTTTCGCGAAGCGCGGTTAGGATGTTCTGTTACTTGTTCTGTATCTTATATAGTGGACTATTAATAGGATAAAATAATTCATATTCTTGTTTTTAAAATTACCCAGACTGCATTTTTCAAATATTTGTTTGCCATACAAAAGCAGATTGTATGACATTTACTCAAAGATCAAAGATCTTATCCAGATATCTCCAGTAACTTAAGCTGTGGATCAAGTAAATTTGTAAGTAATGTTCTTGCATTGTGGGCAATCATTTCTCTAATGCTTTTTCAGGAAATAGGTAATGGGAAAGATGACAAAGGTAATAGTAATACAGCCCTACTAGGTAGTTTGTTCCTATTATCTATTTCCTTATCTTCTTATGGCTATAATTTTGTTGCTTGTATCTTATGATTTATATTATTTTTTTTATTTAGTATCTAGTATGATTTATGTTGATTGCTTATTTAGTATCCTATGACTATCACTGAGTGTTGTATCTTATGATTTATGATGAATGTATTTTGTTATAATCATGATTTATTATTTGTTGCTTGTATGTACACTGAGAGCTTATGCACCAGAGGCAAATTCCTTGTGTGTCCAATCACACTTGGCCAATAAAGAATTCTAATTTTTCAGATAGACAACCAGTTGCCACAATTTTACTACTTAGCATCTGAATCTGAGAGAGATAGAAATTTTGTCCCACATGTATCCTGATAAGAAATATGAACCTTAAGAGGGTCTGATGAACTGGTGTAACAAAAAACAGCCTCATTTTAAACATAGAAAAAACCAAAGAGATCATTGTTGATTTCAGAAAGGGAGGCACAGTCACACACCTCTATGTATTAATGATTCACCTGTGGAGGTGGTTAGCAGCATCAGGTTTCTGGGTGTGCAGCTAACAAGTAGACTAGCTTGGTCACTCGGGCACAGCAGCATGACAGCAGCACCTGCATTTTCTACATCACATGAGAAAAGTACATCTTCTTTCCCCTGTCCTTACCACTTTCTGCAGAGGGACAATTGATAGCATCTTATCATATTGCATTATTGTCTGGTTTGGAAGCATCACTGCTTCATACAGGAAGGCGGTGCAGAGAGTGATGAGGATGGCAGAAAAGATTATTGGTAGTTTGCTTCCTTCTGTCCAGGATATAGCATATAAGTGATGCTTGAGCGGGGTCCGCAGTATTATCTGCGACACAACACATCCTCTTCACAACCTGTTTTCTTTGTTACCTTCTAGGAGGCTTCATGGTATCCAAAGTAGAACAACCAGATTCAGTCACAGTTTTGTTCCATATAGCATCAACTTGTGAACTCGCAAATTTCCTCTTTCTGCTATGTATTCCAAATGGGAAAGTGATAAATATGTATATATGTGTGTATATATAAATATATGTGTGTGTGTATGGGTGTGTGTGTGTGTGTGTTTATATATATTGGTTTTCTGAGGTTTTCGCGGGTGTTTGTATGTAGGTCTTTGGTTATTCGGGTTTTCTCCCACGTAAAATTGGAAGTGTCTTGGCGACGTTTCGACAAAGTCTCATTCGTCATCTTTAGGCTGGTGCTTTCGGCTTCGTGCTTCTAGGAGCAATGTGTGATTGTAGCTGTTTCCTCCTTTTAACTGCCAGTGGGGGTATATAGCTCTCATCCAATCAGTTCATACCCCCACTGGCAGTATGATATATACTTTCTTCTGAGAGTAGGTAACCGAATTTCATTTTTAATGTGGGCCAGTAAAAAAAAAATGACAATAAAGGTTATCTTATCTTGATCCAGAATTTTATTATTCAAATCACAATTCTGTTAAATGCTTCATTAATAATTTTCAGTATGTTTCTTGTAACTATCAAGGAAGATATATTAAACTTCTTATGTAATTAAGGCTCTAAGTAAGATTTTGATTCTCATTTGAGAAATGAATGAACTGAAAGAGAAAAACAATGACTCTAAATTCCATTTTTTGTTTTTCATAAAGTTGACATAGGACTTAAGAAACTTGCATTCCTTGTATCATAAACAAATTGGATTTGTCATTTAATGAAGAGCTTTGACACTACTAAGCATGGAGCTCAGCAAAGCTGATAATTTTACATATTGTAAATGGAAAGAAACTTATCTTCCTGACACCAAGGAATGAATTCAGAACATGAATCCATTATCTGTCATAGAGTCTTTGTAAAAACAATTTAAAATTTTTATCTTCTAAAAATAAAAAATTGAAGCAGTATGTTTCCATATGGTCTGGATTTAATTATTAGCCTAAGGATTGAATTAGTTCTATACCGATGCTACACAGATATCAAACCTTTTTTTTGTTTAGCTCCATGGTGGCAAACCTATGGCACACGTGCCACAGGTGGCACGCAGAACCCTCTCTGTGGGCACACGCGCCGTCGCCCCAATCCTAGGCCTTCAGCTGAGTTTTATAAAACCTTTTCGCTTTAGGCCTCCGACGGCGTGTGCAAAACAAAAAAGGTTCAATCAATCAATCAATTTTAACTTCTCACGGGCAAAAAAAAGATCTCGCAAAGTTGGAATTGATTGATTGCACTTTTTAGTCCCACCCAGTCTGCCGTTACCCCCGCAGTCATGCCCACCCAATGGGCCACACCCACCTGGCACCCGACAATACATAAGTGGGTTTTGGGTTGCAGTCTGGGCACCCAGCCTCTAAAAGGTTCGCCATCACTGGTTTAGCTAGTTTCCATCCCTTTTTTCTTTTTGTTAATTTCTTTTAATTTCCACTAATATAGATTTTTTTTACTCACTGTATAACCACTAATGTGTTCTTTTCTGTCCTTGATGTAATTTGAATTACACTATTAAAAATAATTTAAAAAATAAATATCATTTTTAAAAATCCTAATTTACACATCCTAATGCTCTTGTTATCGACATACTGCTTGTCAAGTTGAAATGATAAAATCTAAGGCAGTGACCATTTGTAGCATTTGTTTCAGTTCCATTGATTGACATATCAATATTATTCCCATACAAATTTCTAATATTCCTAGTATTTCTTTCTCTTCTTTTTCATCCTGAATCACTTCATTACTTTTAATACTATTCATTTTGCCAGAGACTTGCTCAGCCCTCTTCACCAATTTACTTCCATCAAAATAGTTTTCAATTTTCTTTGCCTCTGTTAATCCTTACTCTTTTTAATTACAAACTTTGCAAGCATCCTTTTATCTCTACAGACATTATTCCTAATCTTTTTTCCAGGATTTATTAGAGGAATCAATACACATGGCACATTTGTCCTCTATGCCATGTGTTCATGCTGTTCTATGCAAGCTAGACTCCATAATCTAGATTCTTCCTTGCACGCCCCCATCCTGTGAACTAGGTAGTATAGAAGTTGTACTGACATGACAGGGTATTGGCAACTGTGCTATGAAATATAAGAATGCAGAGCCATTTTCCAATGGTTATTTCATATTTAGAAACAGTTCTATGGTTTCAGCACTATAAATTATAAGTAATAAAGACCATGTGGCAAAGTCGCTACATGAGAGTGGTGTTCATATCTACCTTTACATCTTGCAAATAATTAGCCTCTCTTTTATCAGCCTCTTAATCTGCTTCACTGAAATATGTTTTAATTTAAGCAATACAGATTGTCCCAAATTGTTAAGAACTAGAATGCTAATGTTGACTAGAGATAAACAAATTTTTGATCATATTGAGGTAAAATTGGGTTTATTTGGAATGATTTTCAACTGATGATCCACAATTACTGCTAAAGATGCTACATGACATAGGGAGATTTTAATTGTTCTGTAATGACAGAACTTCAACGCCTTTCAACATTGTGTAGAATTGCAAAGTAATTCTTACTTTGCTTAAAATGATCTATGAGGTATCTAGGGTAGCAGATTTGTCACCTGTATTATATAAAGCATTGTAATCCAGAGTTGCAGAGAATTAAGATTTTGGGAAATTCAGTCATATATTTATTGGAGAACTCAAATAACAGAATCTGCAAAAGGCCAATAGTTCCATAACCCTTTTTTAAACAACTGAGAATCCTCTTTATTTTTCGCCATCATCAGATTTTGCATTTCTTTTTTTTCCCCAGCTTTTCAAATGACTTCGTAATCTGAAATTGATAATTAACACCGCCTGGTATGTGGTATATCAAATAGCATACTTTATTGTTGCATTTATAAATATTTTACTTCAGAATTAATACCGAACAGCCAGTACATTGACATTTTGCCATTAGTTTTTAACTAATTTGTATGTGGAATATAAATATGGTATTCTTTTGTAAAGCATGTTACATCATAACTTTCCTTGATGCTCATTCTGCTTCTAGCGAGAGGTCGATTTTACGTGGTGTATTATTTCCTTCACTGTGGGAGATGTGTGGATTAGGCTCTTGGTTCATTTCACTTGATTTCTGGAAAAAATCAAGTACCTCTTGGCAGAAATATTCATCAGGAAATCCACCA